AGATAGATAGATAGATAGATAGATAGATAGATAGATAGATAGATAGATAGATAGATAGATAGATAAGAATTAAATTATAAGGTGTGTGCAGGCTTTGTTTTGGTTTTGGTTTTGGTTTTTGAGCTAGGATCTCATATAGCCCAGGCTGACCTCAAACTTACTATTTAGCTGAGACTGACCTTGAACTCTTGATTCTTTCCTCCCCTCCCTCCCTGCCTCCTGAGTGCTGAGATTTCAGGGGTGTACCGATACACTCTGTAGTGTATACTACAATGCCATTTCCATAAAGGACTTGCGTGTCTTCAGATACGGGTAATCGAGGCAGGCCCTGGACCAACCCTGTGCATACCAAAGGATGATTATACATCCAGGGGGGCTTAGAGAACCTTCAGAACCCAGCTGTGGTTCTCAAATGTGGAATCCCTGCTATACATTGTCACCGGGTATGATTCCTGCAGGTGCAAGGGAGTGGCACACTCATCCTGTCTGCCTGGGGGGCTTCACTGAGGCTTCCGGGCACCGAGTGAGAGCTGGTTATCTCCTGCTCCTTGGCTAGTGGTCAGAGCCCCTGGCCTCTGCATGGGACCCAAGCAGATTAGTGCACTATCAGGTAGGGGACAAAAGGATGTGGTAAAGGCACTGGCTGTCACTCTCGGCTTAAAGATAAAGTCAGCCCCCTCCCGTGTGGCCTTCACCCTCTCTCCTGTTCTTACCCTTGAGTGTGAAGATGGCCTGGCAGGAGTTGGGTCTGGCCTTATTTGAAGCCTGTGGTTACTTTAGAATAGTTTAGAGATTTTAGAAACATTGTAGAGGGGGAAAAGGGAAAATTGCTAGAAATGGAAAGGAATTGTGGGAAGTGGAATCACTGTCCACTCCCAGATAGTCAGTGAGCACTAATATTGTTACTATAGATCTGGCTCCTCCCCTGAGGAAGATTTCAACCCAGTAGGGAAACACGTATGTACATGAATAACAGAGATTGTGGCTTACCCGTGGTGAAGTACAAGTCAACACTTTGAATAGTCCTGCCATAATTTAGTACACACTGCATTTTGAAGGTGGTGAATTCAGTTCTAACCCACCCATCCAGACAGGGTCTCTTTATACAGCCCAGGCTGTCCTGGGTCTCTCTAGGTAGACCAGGCTGCCCTCAAACTCTCAGAGGTCCATCTGCCTCTGCCTCCCCAGTGCCCACCTCCTAACCTTTGCAAAACAGTTTACTACTAATCTATGTCTGCTTTCTTTCCTTGCGGTCACTTGTGATGGGCCTCTTTCCCTGCGAAGTCATGTGTTGTTCTTCTAGCTCAGCTGGGGCTGAGTAAAGGGGCTTCTAGTAGCAAGAACTGTAGGCTAGACCTTGGGAGGCGCTTTCTCCCTGTTTGGACTGAGAGACTCTGAGATTGCCTAGGGGCTCTGGGCCTCCTCACCATAGAGCTGCAGGTGTGGATGGCACCTCTGCTGATAACCACCCATCTTACTGGAAAGTGGGAGATGTTCAAGAGATACCTCCCGTGAAAACTCTGAGAAAGTCTGGCCTGACGGGTGCATCACCTTGCAGCCTGTTGTTCTGTACCCACCAGGGAGGGCGTATCTGGGTCCTGTCCATGTTGGCATCTTTTCCAATCTGGCTCTTCTTTCTAGTCAGGACAGTTCAATGAGGACATGATCCCCACTGTGGGTTTCAACATGCGCAAAATCACCAAAGGGAACGTGACCATCAAGGTGAGGACAGAGGGCTGCAGAAGACCACGCATGTTTGGGAGGGCAACCGAGGCCCCTGGGAAGAGCCAGCCAGGGGAGGGCAGAGTGGCATCCTGTTGCTGGGGAGCTGGAAGTAGAGAACCCAAGAACAGAAAGCTGGGGGACTGGGCAAGAGGGAAACCAGGAGGGAGAAAAAGGCATGCCCCACAGGGTGACAGGGACAGCAGAAAGGAAGCTTGGGAGTCGAAATTGCTTTCAGTTGTCTGCCTGTTCCTGAGGCTACCCTCTCCCCACCCTCTTCTTACTCAGCTCTGGGACATTGGGGGGCAACCCCGTTTCCGCAGCATGTGGGAGCGTTACTGCAGAGGAGTGAGCGCCATCGTGTAAGTAGGATCTCCCACCCTGCTGCCTGCAAGGACTTCAGACCTAATGGAGAATCGCATAGACATGGTCTCTCCATCATAGCTGGTGCCCGGACATAGCCTGATTTTATTTTGCATGCCGTTTATTTTAGTAAATATGTACTCTGGGCTATAGCGCCTAATTAGAGAACTGGCCAGCCAGGCCTGCAGTATCACTTAGGGCATTGTCCCCCAACTCAAGTCATCATGTCTTGAATTTTGGGTGAGTTAAATGATTCCTTCCCTTGCCTGTTAATTCTATCTAGACAGCAGATGTAACTTGGTCAGAAAGCTGTTGCCTAGCATGTACAAGGCTCTGAATTCAACTTTAGAGCCACAAACAGAAACCAAAAAAGAAAGAAAAGAAAGACGGGGTGGGGGGGGATGTATAATGTATGCACGGCTTAGTTTTTCTTAACAGAAAACTATTTTTTTCTTTTGTAACAGGGTCTCCCTGTGTGCGCCTGGCTGGCCTGAATCTCAGTTTATCTCACTATGTAGACAAGGCTAACTTCTAACTCACAGACTCCAACTCTCAAGTCCCGGGATTCGGTGCATGCACACCATGCCCGGCTTAAACCTGATGTTTATATTTTTAAGAAACAAGCATCATAGCTGGATGGTGGCACACACCTTTAATCCCAGCACTAAGGAGGCAGAGGCAGATGGAGCTCTGTGAGTTCGAGGCCAGCCTGATCTATAGAGCGAGTTCCAGGACAGTCAGGGCTACACAGAGAAACCATGTCTCAAAAAAAAGAAAAGAAAAGAAAGAAACAGACCTCATACCCTGCTAGGATAGAACCCTTTTCTTTTTCTTCTCTAGCCCTATCTAGGCCAGATACAGCTAACCCTACAGGCCCCAGCTTCCCAGAGGACATAAGCCTGCAGCATGTTGCCCTGTGGGTTGGGGAAGGTGTTCCCTGAGTCAGACCAGGGTGGTCCACTTCTCCGGAGGTGACCAGGTGTTGAAGGAGGAGGAGGAACCAGAGGTGTTCTTCCCCTCAGCTGCCCCTCTTCCTGCCCACCTCAGCCCATGGTGTCCCCATGCTGTCCCTGCCTGCTTTCCCCAGGTATATGGTGGATGCTGCAGATCAGGAGAAGATCGAGGCCTCCAAGAATGAGCTCCACAACCTGCTAGACAAGCCCCAGCTGCAAGGCATCCCGGTCAGCAGATGATGGAGTGGGTGGGAGAGGGAGCGGGCTCGAAGTCACTGGGGGAGATGGCCCCATGCAGGCATGCTCCATGCCCTTGTCCTAACCCTCTTTGGCTTCTCTTCTGAATAGGTCTTAGTCCTCGGTAACAAGCGAGACCTAGCGGGAGCACTAGATGAGAAGGAGCTGATTGAGAAAATGTAAGCCGAGTGGCCTTTCTTTGTGTGCTTCAGCTCCCCAAATACCCCAGCTGAGGAACACTTCTGGGCTGGGCCAGTTGCTATTTTCATTGTTCACCACATGGTGGCAGCAAAACACATCTTTCCAGGAGCCTCGCCCTCCTCTTTGACCAAGAAAAAGACCCTGCCTTCCCCCAGCCCGTACCCCTTGGCTGCCTAGCCTCTGCAGATTCTGCTCTGATCTCCCCCACAGGAATCTGTCTGCTATCCAGGACCGAGAGATCTGCTGCTACTCCATCTCCTGCAAGGAGAAGGACAACATAGGTGCGTGGCTTTGGGAAGTTGTTGGCACTCTACCAGGAGTGGCCTTGCAGAAGGGAGAAGAGAGGAGAGGGCTACTTCCGGTGTGGTAGCTTAGGACTCTGGAGAGTGTCCTTAGTCCTGGGGTGCAGCGGGCAGCTGGGAGGCCCAGTTCTGAACGTTACCTCAGTTCTACTTTCTGAGAGGAGCCAACCACTCACTCTTGTACCTCTGAGATTATCCTAGGTTGAACCGAGCCCTTCTGCCTGTGCTTGCTGTGCTTTGTCTTTCCCATCGCTAGTTTGGAGCTGTTACAGGGGTCACAGCTCTTGGCTTGATCCTGGCTGCAATTTCAGGAACCGGGATTAACTGTTTATGCCTGTCAGGCCTTATGGGCTGCTGCAGGATGCTGCACACAGGCAGGCCTGACGACATTCTCTCTTGTCTCACTCAGACATCACCCTACAGTGGCTTATTCAACACTCAAAGTCACGGAGAAGCTGAGACTGTGGCTTTTCTCCTTCGGACCAGGGACCACAGTCACCTAACCTGAAGCCGAGCTCCCCGCCCACCGTTGTCTCCCCCAAACCCACTGCTCCTCACCCAGTGTGGGGAGGACCCTCTGGGGCTCCTAGAGTCCCATTCTGCTGAGGTTTGAACTCCTGTTTTTATTGTAAAATAAATTCCCCCCCCCAATATGGTCCCCTAACCTCTCTCTCTCTCTTTGTCCCTCACCTCACCCCGCTTCCCTCCCCTCCCAACAGCCCTGGCCCCGCAACCCCTGTCCTCACTTTCTGTCCCACCCTCTACCTCCCCTTTCAACACCTCTGTTATTGTCCTGTGTGTACAGTATATATATGTATATATATTTTAATTTTTTAATTTAAGCAAAGACTTAAGATCAACCATTTGATGCTGCAGGGGCCAATCAGGACCTGGGAGGGGCAAACTGGAAAGATGGGAAGAGATGCAGGGTCAACTTGGGGCAAGTTCAAATGTAAAAAGGTGGTGGTTGGCTGGCACTCGGGGCAGGTACCAGCCTGGCCACTGGTGATTGTCCCCATGTCCTGTAAAGTATTTCTGTCTCCCAGTAAAGGGCCTGAATACCCAGGCCCGGCAAGAGCCTCCTTTCTGTCCCCAGCCTTGGGAGGGCCACCAGGCACAACCAGGTAGCAGAGACCACCAGGCCTAAGAGGGAGGAAGCCAGTGTCCATGCCAACCCAGCGACCCCCATTCTCACCGTTCCCAGCCCCAGCTCCTGCCTCTACCCAGGGCCTCCACCTCCATGGCCCATTTCATTTTCTGTTCTCATCTCACAGAGTTGTACAAGGAGAGAACTCAGCATGGGGGGTTGGTTCTTTGGGTTTTGTTTGTTTGTTTGTTTAATTTAATGATTTGTAAAGTGATGTTCCTCTTCCTTTTACACTTTCCAGCTCATATTTAACCTCTGTTTGAAAAATGATTCTTGTAACTGTACATTTTTTTTTTGCCTCCTAATAATGACAATAATAAATTACCAATTTTGTGTTGGGGGCGTGTGTGGTGCTGGGTGTTTGCCGCTGACCAGCAGCAGACTCACAGGGAAGGCCATGGGGTGCCACACCCACAGGGAACACGTGCTCATGCTGGCAACACAACGGCCTGTCACAGAACAGCCTCCCACACGTGTGTCTGGACTCTGGTGTCGCCTGCTCCTCATTCTCTTCGGTCTCGTGTAGGCTGGCAGCTACCAAGCGGTACTTAGCAGGTAGTCAGAGGAACTACTCAGACCTGGCCCATGCTTTCCCTGTTCAAACAGAACTGCTGTTTCTCAACAGCAATCAATCCCTGGCCCCTCTCCATCCCGTGCCTGCTCGGTCCCCATAGCCAGAGTCGTACCAGAACCAGAATTCTGCCTCTACCTCTTCATTCCCAGTTCCCACCAGGAAGAAATCTAATGTCCTCCAGGGGTATGCTGGGCCTGTGGAGTCTCCTTTGCTATCTTAGTGTCCAGGTCTCTTGGAAAGGACCAGCCGTTACTCTATGGATGGAGCTCCTGCGCTGCCTGACAGGAGCTCACAGTCTCAGTGCCTGTGGACCCTCCTGGGTTCAGTGTGGATCCAATCTTATTTAGTTTTACACTTGACTCTCAGACACACACACCCCCACCCGCCCCGCCACTCCCTTGTGTTCTCTCTCCCCTCAGCCTGGAAAATAGAGACCGTAGAATGCCCAATCTCTTTTCACCCTACCTCAGCAGAAAGAAGCGTGCTTTGTCCTTGGTTTGTGAGAGGCCTTGGGCTAGGCCACTATCCAACCACGAGGAGGATTTCTTATTGCTGAGGGACTTTGAGGAACGAGTCTGAGAATTGAGCTCAATGGCAGAGCGCTGATCTGGTGTGCAATAGACCAGGCCCTGGCGTCCATTGACCGCATGGGGAGAAGGTCTGAGGAAAATCTGGATAGGGTTTGCCGCCAGCTAACTGATTTCCAGGAGTCCTCCTTCTCCTTAAGAGTATAAGGTGTGCCCCTTGGTTAAGAAGGATGATGGTGGCCCAGGCTTTGTCCCCTGCCCTGCATCTGGACGAGGACCACTATTCTCATCCATGGGGATGTTTCAACGCTGACCTGCTTCTTGGCGTCTGTGTTCTCCAGGTGAGATTTTTGTGAGAGAAGATGAACTGATTATTAGCTCATGCAAAACCATTGCCCTGTACAGGGAACTCCTGCAACGGATACGCAGCAGGGCCCAAGTCTCCTGTTCCTTGAATAGGGAACAAACCATGTAAACCATCGTGTTTGGGTTCTAAACTGAATGAGCTCATACCTGGCCGAGGGGCTGGAGAGGTGGCTCAGAGTTAAAGAGCAGGTACTGCTCTTGTAGAGGACATGGGTTCCTAGCACCCACGTCAGGTGGTTCCAGAAAGAGCTAACACTTCTGACCTTTGTAGGCTCCGAACCCCTGCTCACATAACCCAACACAGATAGACACACACACACACAATTAAAAATTATATAAAAAAAATATTAAAAAAAATACCTGGCTAAGTCCACTCCATATTTCTTGAGATTTGGATTCCCAAAAGCATGGAGCCTTGCACTATGCCAGATGCTTAACCCCCCCCATCTCCCAACCCCCTTTCTAGTGGTGGAGGTGGGGCCCAGGACCTCGAACATCCTAGGCAAGCAGTCTGCCTCTGGTCTCCAGCTCCAGCACAGAGCATGTCTGGCCTCATTTAGTGATCACAGGCCTCTGTGAAGGACTGATCGTTCTGTTTCCCAGAGTGGGGAGTGGAGACAGGTATCCCCAAGGGTAGAGCTGAGCTAAAATGAAGATACTCAGTGGGGGGCATGCCAGAGGACACCCCCCACCTGGCGTCAGTGTGGGGCATACCAGAGGACACCCCCCACCTGGCGTCAGGCTCTGATGACTGACCCCCTGCTACGGATGTCAGCATCTCTCTCTGAGCCTCACAGCTCAAGCCCCTTGCCCACCCTTGAGCCAGCCACCCCACCCCCATAGCCTGGGACCCCAGAGCAACAAATCCCACATTGTTCCCTGGCTGGCACAGGCTGGAGGGACAGTGGCTCCTTCCCAAGGCTTGCTAGTCTGCCGGCTAGTTTTGCAAGCCATTCACGTTAGCAGACTTGGAAAGCAGCAGCAGGGTAGGGTCTAGGAGCCACCATCTCTCCCCTTGAGCTCTGGGCCAGCCAGCGGGCAGGAGGGAGGTCCAGAGTGTGCCCTTTGTGGAAGAGGCCACCAAACAGGATACTGAACCACCACCACCCCTCCAAGCCTTCCACCCCCAGTCCTCTCCCTGCCCCTGACTTCACCTCAGATCACCCCGGGCCACTTCCTCCCCCCCTTAGAAAGTTATTGGTGCGTGCAGGACTGGGATAGGGGGAGGAGTTGGGAAAGCACCCCCTTTCTGGTTCTGCTTAGAAACAAGGGGTCCACCTTTGCTCCCTGTCCAACTAACGCAACACACACACACACACACACACACACACACACACACACACACAGTTTCTAAGACAAAGCTGGAGACTTTGGTCACTGTAGCAACAGGTCTGCCGAGAAATGGGTGGGTGTCATGTGCAGGGCAGTTCCATCACTTAGCAACAGCCTCCCTCTCTCTTGGCCAAATCACTGGCCCTGGGGGGTGGGGGGGTGGGTGCCCGGGATCAAGAACAAGGCTGTTTAGATTCCAAGTAGTGGGGAGGGAGACTTGGACGCTGAGTGGACCAAGGCCCAAGGGATTGGGTGCCTGGGCAAAGAAGAATAGAATTGGGCTGCTCATGACCCCGTACCCTTGGGGACCTAATCTGGTAGAGGTTCTAGTTGACCTGATGGGACCCTGAACTGAGCTCCAGATAAGGGTGGCTGCAGAAAAAGCTGGGCATGGGAGAAAGGAATGCCAGTGGCCCAGGCTGATAGCCCAGCAGAGAGAAGGGGCCTGTGGAGGTGCCTCAGGGGCAGAGCTGGGGAAACGGTTTAAAGGGCAGGCCCAGTAGGAGGAGCTACTGGTTGTGCAGGGACCTTCTGTAGAACTCTGCTGGGAAGGAGGTGGGGCGGGGGCAGTGGGGGCAGTGCGGGTAGGCAGCTGGGCCATCTCAGAGCCAAACAGTCCATTCTAAGAAACTGAACAAGAGCCACTGTTAGAAGGGAAGGATGCTGAGAAGCTTTGTGGCCCACCAAAGGAAAGCCTCTGGATTCCCGCAAATGGGGGCTTTGTGGAGAGGGCAAACCAAGTGAAGCAGAGACTCCAGAGACAAGTGTGACTTCCCAGGGGCAGCTGGGTTTAGCTCTAGATAAGGGTTTAGCCCCCAGTTCATGAAGCCTTCCCTCCTCTCTGTCTCTCAAAAGCTATAACGTTCTTGGAACCCTGTCCCCAAGGCAGGACAGCAAATAAAGGCCCAGGCCAAGGAGACTGCCCAGTTAGGGAAAAGGCCTGTCTACACGTCTAGGTTCTGTCACTCGTGGACAAGGAAGCTCACTGGGCACAGGGTTGTAGTACCTACTTTATTGTTTTTCCAGAATGGCCTTCTACAGGAAAGCGCCTAACGGGAGGCGGGGGCTGGATGATGTGAGATGTGACCAGGCGCTTCACAGAACGGAAGACAGAAGAGAGAGAATACTCTGGGAAGAGACTCGGGGCTAAGACAGACCCTCTTTAGAGGACGGGATGCTGAGCCTGCTTAGGTTGGCCCTCAAGCAGTCCCTGGTCCAGGATGGGGCCTAGTGGGACTAGAGAAATGATGTTTGGGGAGGGACTCAGCCAACCTACAGTCAGATTCCAAGATCAAAGGGAAGGCAGGCCAAGGGCCAATGGCCAGACTGAGATTCTAGGCAACTCTAATGACCTAGACAGATCTCCACCTACAAGTGGGAGGGACAAGGCTGACAGGTCCCTCAGAGCGTTAAGATTGGCACTGTCTTCCGATGGGGCTTTGACAAGCCCAAACTCTGACAAAATGAGCCAAGTCCATCTCTGAACCGCAGGATGAGAAGACCGAAGCGAGACCTGTGAGAAAGAATCAGCAGACCGTCTTGAGTGGGATGGCACCCCTCCCCACCTGCTCCCATGCCCCCCTAGACTCAGCAAGGTGTGCCCAGGGGCATGAGTGGGGGTGACTCCCTGGGCTTATGGAAGTAGATGGAGGAGGACACTTCGGTCTTAAGCTTTCTGTCCGCGCCGCCTGTCGCCGAGGAGTCCGAGGCCCCGCCGCACTCCTCACAGCAGCAGCAACAGCAGCAATCCAGGAAGGCCTGACCCAGGGGCCTGCAGATGCACAGGAGGAGCACGGGGGTGATGGCGCCCTTGAAGAAGGCGGAGAACTGGTTGATGAGGCCCAAGAGGTCCAGGGTCTGCCGGGTGAGCTCGGTGGAGAGGTAGGCCACCACGATATTGCAGACGTTCTCGGGGAGCGTACAAAAGGCATAGACCACGGTCAGGCCCACCACAGTGCTGTTGAGCTGGCTCTCACACTGCTCATGCTTGCCTGCCCTATACTCGGGCTTCCTGCCCGGCGGGCCCCTCACCCGCCATGTCACAAGCTGGCAGGTGACGGTGAAAAGGATGGGCAGACAGAAGTAGCAGCCGAAGTACCACCACATGCGAGCGTTCTGGTAGGTCATCACCAGCGAGTAGATGGACTCGGGTAGGTTGGCTGAAGGTTTCATGATGCACGAGTCCACCGTCCCCATGGTGGGAGCAGGCTCTTGTGCCAGCTGCCACAGCAGGAGTTCAGGCACGGCCAGCATCATGGAGCCCACCCAGATGACAGCCAGTTTAGCCAGAATTGATTGGCATCGCTCGATGGGCCTCACCTTCGGCAGGGTGCTGGTGGCCACATGGAAGCGGTCTATGCCCAGAGCACAGAGGCTAAAGGTTGTGACTCCCAGGGAGGAGACCTGTGAACAAGGATGTAGAAGGCGACAGAGGGCTCAGTGGATGGGGGCAAAGAGGTTTCAGGCTGAAGAGGAGCATGGGTTACACAGGAACAGTGTGACAATAGCTGCTATTGGTGAGTATTTCCTACCCACCAGA